CAATACACAAAAGTCTAATGTTAAACTAGAAAAATATTTGAGTTCTGTGCGCAAGAGAAATGGTCAACACTTTCCTTATTCAAGCCCACACACATATACATACTCTCTGCAGCCAGAATTTCTAAACATAATGGGTTCCAATAGCATTTGAATCCAGGATAACCCAAAGCAATTCCTTTGAGAGTATGGAAAATGTCAACCAAGTGAATTAAGACAGAGGGTAATGGTGGTTTTTCTAAAATAAGAGGTCCTCTGTGTTAAGAAGTCCAGCCTAGAACTGTCAAGATGAATCTATTTCTTCCAATCTTTTAGGTTTATGTAAGCTTACCAAACATCCTTTCCCTACCCAACGGCTAATTTATTTTATACTCAAATTAGAGATTCCAAAGGATCATAGCAACATGTAAGTAAGGAACAGTGTCAAAATGGTAAGATTTGTTTAAGCTGGTCAGGTATGTACAGGTATTTGTCATAACACTCTCCATATTCTTCTGTATGTTTGAAATATTTTATAGTAAAATATTAAAGAGACTGGACATCAGCACATGGTCAACAATTACATATGGGCAAGGCTGAGCAGTTCTAGAATTCCTGATCCCCAACAGTTCACCTCTAAGAATATAAAACGGAACTAAAACCAAGATACCAGTTATGATAGCAGCTAGTCTTTAATTTACACTACTTTTTTTCCCCCTCGATCATCCTCTTTCTAAAAATTGTTTCCTATCAAAACGTGTACAGCCATGATGTAAAATTCAACAGATTTCCACCCCAAAGAGTTAAAAATGCAATTGCATATTGTAGGAACATGAGGCAAAGCCTACCAATCCAACTGAAAAAAAAAATGGGGCGGGGAGGGGGGGGGAGTATACTGCTGGATTTGCCTCACCAAACAAGGCAAATCAAGAGGCTTGTCTGAATGCTAAGCTGCAGAGAAGGAAAAACCCTGACACCTAGTGCCCATCGGAAAAAATGAAGCCTTTGAACCCCTATAATGATTTAAGTGTGGTAGTGTGTGCACAAGTGAACATAAAATTGCACTCAATTTGGAATATACCTATCTCCCCAAAAAATGTAACACTATGCAAAAATTTCAGTATCTAACGATCAATCTTTTTTGGAGTATGTATCTTGTACCTAACTGTTTCTAAACACAGCATCTTCTTCTCATCTCAGTTTTTCATTATGTCAGGAGTGATGAGAGGGAATGGATGGGTTCATATTGTTAAAAAGGCCAAGTTCTGATATAATAAGGAGAACAGGATCGTAATTCCTATCCTCACTAAAATTACTATAAAAGGTGCATCTCTCTCATACCTTTCCTCATTGCCTGATTTAGAGATTCGTGATCTAGTTCACAGAGCTGTTAATGAAAATAAAATTAAAGAATGCTAATAATATTTCAGAACAAATCATAGTCTCAAGAAGGCTAGTGTTTTCTTTGTCCTATCAGGCAAAGTTAAGTTGTTCTCTGTCAAGTCCATTATAGCCTTGGCTTGATCTTAGTCTGAGCCTTTTAATAACAGGATTCTGTGCGAAAAGCGGCTACACTGAATTGTGAACTGTTACTCAAAATGTTCCCACCTGCAATTACAGCTTCCAACAAATGATCAAAACAGGTTAGCAAACAAACAGGAAAATGAAAACAATTCCTCCAAAAGTGAGATGTGGTAAGAGCACAACTGTTGTTTGGCTACACTGCATCTGTACCCAGGCTCAATAGCATACATCCATCTAGCTGTGTATTTACATACAGTGCCCAGCACCGTAGCATCATGAACTCAGCTAGAAGTGAAATTAGTTTAGTATATGCTGCAATCATATTTTCTTTAATTTTCATCTTGAAACTATTAAAAAAAATTCTGGATAACTCGTCTTTGGAGCTATTTGCAAGTAATGCAGATTCGGGCTGAATCTCTTTTATTCCTACTCTAAATTCATACTAAATGCAATGCCATTCAAATCTGACAATGAGAAAAATGTATTCTCCTACAACTTTCATCATGCATAGTGGCATTCCTTCAGTTACACCTTTCTTGATGGCGGAGGGACAGCTAGGAAAATAGAAAGGAGAACGTAGCTAATACCACGTCAGAAAAGAACTGTTTCTCCTGCTTTTAACATGGGCACAGTGTTCAAAATGCAGGTCACATCTCTGCTGAAACAGCCAATATTCTTCCTCAAATGGCAAACAAGTTACCTAAAACTAAATGGAACTGAATTGTTCCAACTCCTGGACCCATCACCATTTTACCCATTTACTGTCCTGGAAAAAAAAATAAGGAAGACTGGCCACACATATAGCCAATGGTCTGATAAGTGTAGGTTTTCTGCCTCTGATTATGGGGAAACGCATCTCAATTCCTGGGGAAACTCTGCAGGAATCTCTTGTTTTACTTTTATTCCTATATCCATGTGGTAGCATTTAAACCCTGAAACTCCAATCCTTCACGGTAATGCAATATCACCCACAATGATGACCTGGTAGAGCCGTCACCTTTAGAGAACACCACATTATAATGATTTAATGTCTATGTAGCATCAATGCATTTACATTGAGCCTTGGCTCTCAGGACATTAACAGGTCAATTTTTTATTCCTCTTTTAATAAAACAATTTCTCAAGTCTCTGTTCAGATGCCCATTCTCTGTGGGACAGGACAGATTTGCTCCAACTCTCATCAGCATGAGCTCTTTTCTTTCCCCTCACATCATTCTTGGGTAAAATGTAGAGTGCCAGGCTCATGACAAACTTGTCTCTTTGGCCAAAGAAAATTAAACTGCAATAGCTGAAAGTCAACTTGCCCTGATAACACTGGGCTTGGCATGAGGAAATACATCCTATTGACAGTGCGTCTTCTCTTAGGCAGAGCTGTCCCTCAGAGTTCTGACTGCTGAAACTTCATCTTTAGATTGGTCTCTCAGTGGACATGCTCCATTGTATGTTCAAGCTATTGGTAACAGAATTTGATACTGATACCCCAACCTCATTCCTGTCATGCAGTGCCCCATAATCTAGCTATGGCCACTGACTGACTTCACCAGCCATCCCAGGCATTAGTCACTAACTGCTCACAAAAGAACATTGGTCTCACTCCTCCTGAGCTCAAAGACTCAGAAATAGCGAGCTAATGCTCAGCCTCAATTCTAGTCAATCATTTGAAGAAAAGAGAAAATAGGCAACTAAGGAGGGAAAAGAATAGAAGAAGAAAGTGAGAACTGACAAAAAGAAAAAAAAAATGTTTACTACTATTAGATTTCAAGATTGTTAAAGCATTGGGCAAAGGTAAACATGGTTCCTACACTGACTTTGCTATTTCCAGTGATAGTATAAGACATCCCTTTTCCATCAAGGTTTGCTGGGTCTTAAAAGGGTTAAAACAAACCTTTAATTTTTTTTATTCGTGTGTGTGTGTGTGTGTGTGGTCTTTGGGTACAGAGTCCGGTATAATAAGACTATTTGTATTCATACTGGCAGAGTAAACACTACATGTTCATGCCCAGGCAGCTCTGTGCTTGTAATTTCAGCAAGAACAGAGCTCTGTCCCTCTGGGACTTCACTATTCCCCTAGTCTCCATTCGCTCAAACACAGAATGAGAGCAGAGAGAAAGCAGGAGAGAAAGATCATGGCAAGAGGTTTCAAATAGCACTGCAGCTAGCTTGTACGTGGACAAAAATCTCGTTTTGTGTTTTAATTACATTAGTTAAAACCGTTTTTCTCAGCTACATGTTCACAAGGGTGCCTTCTGTTCTTAAGACGACACTGTTCAATGAAGAAGAATTTAAGTCTAGCACAATGAAGCTTTTCTCTGCTCTTGAGGGGCTCATTGAGTACATGCTACACACAGCGGCACAAACGTCTACTTCAACTTTGTGTGCTAATGAGTATATACCTACTCTTGTCAAAATTCTATGCATCCTTCCTCCCTAGCTTCTTGTCTTTTCTATTTCAAGTTGTTAGATTAAAAGAACTCCTACAAGTCTGATACTCTCCATCTGGTCCTTGATTGCATCCATCTTAATACTAAATCATCTACTTTGGCATCCTCTGGTGGACTTACTGAAACAGCCATACACCTTGTACGTATAGGAACATTTTTTATAATATACTGCATAAAATGAAAACAATTGCATATTATCTCCAAAGGTCTACCCAGCCTGTGTTTATGGTGAACACCAGGTAAAGATTACTCCTTCTAAGGAAGGAGATTTTTCTAGGATTATTATCTAAGGTTGAAATAAAAACATATCTTTTTTTAGGTTTATGACTATTATCATTGCTGGACATAGGGTATTGGGCAGAATATGACTTTATATCATTATTATTAGTGCACAATAGGAGAAAGGTCTCCAAGGCTAGAAAATGCATTCTTGAATAACTATAAGCAATGGGTTCTCTATTACTTTATTTTATGTTGAAACCCCTGGTTCTGAATGAGTCCCTTTAAGAATATATTTACCATGCTCACAATAGCATCAGATCAAATTACCTGAGCATAAAATAGATATCCAAATAAAGAAAAACATTACACAAAAAACAGTACTTTAAATGCTCTTATTATAGAAAATGTCAAAAATTTCAAACATATACAATAAGTGAGAAAATAATCTATTTCGTATCTATCATCTAGCTTCATTAACAACTCATGGCCAATCCTGTTTCATCCATATTCCCACATTCACCTCCCATTATTTTGAAGTAAATTCTATATATCAGATCATTTCATCTGTAGTTATTTTAGTATGTATATTTAATAGAAAAATACTTAAGGAAACAAAATTGTAATATCATTTTTAAATAAAATAGTATCATTATCACACCTACAAAATTAAACAATAATTCTGTAATAACCAGTTAATGTTCTCTCTCTAAAGAATTCTACCAATAAGACTGCCTACTACTTGGATCTGAATTAACACCATTTAATGACCATCCCATGAAAAGTTGATACTGGTGGGCACTGAACTAAGAAAGGGGGGAAGGGGACTCAACTACTTGCCTCATTTCCTCCTGGTAGCCTGTTCATGTGGACCAGTTGACCTTGATCATCCAACACGAGCTCAGTGTAGGTCAGTATGTCAGAAGGCAGAGGGGGTGATGGAAGAAATGCTTGAGTGGACATAGACTCCCAGAGTTTGATCAGGGACTAGTGGAGGAGAGAAGTTTTACTAATCAATGACAATTAGAATTTCAACATATATAAAAATGAAAAGATTTGGTTATTCTCAGTTAAAATATATTTGTTATTGCCCTGGCCGGTGTTGCTCAGTAGTTGTATGACTATTTGTAAATGCACATGTCAATTCTGCTCAAATATGAGAAAAAGATAGCTACACTTACCCATTTAGAAACCATCATGATTTCCATTTCCAACTTCCTATTATCAAAACAAGTGTCTCATGAAATGGGAACTAGTTGTTTCTTTGTTTACCTCAAAGCAACATTTAAAGACAATATGACTCATTCATATTTAGATGTCCTCATCACTATGCTTATGTCTATTCTACAGGAAGAATTATATAGAATGTGATTTCTACTTATAGCATTGGCATGGGGAAAGAGAACCAACACTCAACTTTTAGACTAACAATGCCAGTGATACTGAATGATGGTAGCTACATTTCAACAGACAGAACTTGTAAATAAGTAGTTACATAAGGAAATCTCTTGTATTTGTGAATAATACAGGAATTACAGATAGACTATATACCAAGGCCACATATATTACCTTAGTAAAACTTAAATATGGTAATACTGGTGGTATTAACTAGGAAATTTGGAAAAATCCTTTATTCATAGATTTTTTTAAAGGACAAATTCAGTATTCTTTTGACACCTTATTTTTTATCTGCTGCATTTTTTGCTGGTAATATACTTTTCTTGCCTTCTATTGATGGAAGAAAAATCTGCAGCACAGAGATGATTCACCATACAGATCAAAGGAATTTATTTTCATATAGAGCAGTGGTTCTCAACCTTCCTAATGCCGTGACCCTTTAATACAGTTCCTCATGTTGTGGTGACCCCCAACCATAAAATTATTTTCGTTGCTACTTCTTAACTGTAATTTTGCTACTGTTATGAATCGTAATGTAAATATCTGATATGCAGGATGTATTTTCATTGTTACAAATTGAACACAATTAAAGCATAGTGATTAATCACAAAACAATATGTAATTATATATGTGTTTTCCGATGGTCTTAGGTGACCCCTGTGAAAGGGTTGTTCGATCCCCAAAGGGGTCGCGACCCACAGGTTGAGAACCGCTGATATAGAGGATAAGATTCATAATATATTTTCTCATGCTAGTTTTTATTCAGCTATAATAAATCTCCCACAAAAGAACTGATACTTTGCCGAAACTGGTTTGGCTCAGTGGATGGAGCATCGGCCTGTGGACTGAAGGGTCCCGGGTTCGGTTCCGGTCAGGGGCATGTACCTGGGTTGCGGGCACATCCCCAGTGGGAGATGTGCAGGAGGCAACTGATCGATGTTTCTCTCTCATCGATGTTTCTAACTCTCTATCTCTCTCCCTTCCTCTCTGTGGAAAATCAATAAAATATATATATTAAAAAAAAAAAAAGAACTGATACTTTAAACTGTGTACCATGAACTCTATATCATATATTTGTATATGTTATCTATATTGATTCTCATCATATTAATCTAGGCAATTAGCTAGAGAGACTTGGGTTATCTTGGAAAACAGAAAAATGAGAACTAGAGTTTCCAACCTCTTTAATATCCATAATTTGAATACAGGCTTAGGAAATATAGACCTGAACATAACTCCTCACACAGGTCATTATAAACTACCATCACAGGCATGCAGTCTCAGTTTACTCTCATCTACTCAATAGAGGTTCCGATCCTCACTATTTCTCCTGTTAATTCACAAAGAACCACCCCAAATCTAAGTTGGCAGTCACCAAACCCCAAATAAAATAAAAATGAGAATAGTGTCAAGATATTTCCTGCCCTTTAGGAGTGCATCATTCCAGTCTAAGCTGCATCTGATGGAGAGTCAAGAAAACCTTGCCTCTTTGGAATAGGTCAGAGCCTCCCAGTTAGCCACCGTTACCTGTCGAAACATCTCTGGGATATCATATATGTATGTTGTCCCTAAGGACTGTGCCTGGAACCTCTTTGATTGAAGCAGGTCTTTGGTCACATAGGGAGTGTTGATTAACATTCCATGCAGTGGTCCCTGTTTGTCTCCATATGCCTGAAACATGATCTGCAGGAAAAAGAGGATGGCATGAGGCGTTGAGACAGAGAAAAACATCAGAGAGCAGCCTAGAAGGGCTTTTTTAAATAAAAGTTATTTCTTGAAACACATTTTTGGTGGGTTGAGTAGCTCGGATATGCTTCTTAACATCGAGTACATGGTGCTCTCACCTCTCTACAAATTAACCAACTACAAAACTGGTATGTAGCCAACTGTACACCACTGGCTGCTTTCACTTTTGGATTTGTTGAAATCAATAGGAAAGCACAGTGTAAATTTCATATTTCAGAGACAGACTGACAATGCTTTCCTTCTAAAGTGATTTGAATCCCACATATTCAGAAATGAAGTATATGTCAACTAACGCCAGTCTGAGCAGTGCTCTAGTATTTAAGTTGAGAAACAGCAATGCACTAAAGAGACTTCTATTCTTTCCCCAATGGTAGAAGGCCAGGTCAGGCTGTGCTGTATCATTTATGCTTCAGTCTATTTGACTAGAAGGTGCCTCATAAGTATTATTAGCCACAGAAAGGCTTCAAAGATTTCTGTTACAAGTGAATTTCACCCATCCATGTAGCTAGATAATTCTTATTAGCTTAAAAGACATAGTCTGTAGTAAAATGTATATTTTATTAAATGATATATGCATCTATATAATATGTACACACACACACATATATATATTCCCCCAGAACACCATGTCTACAACTAGTGACTAGCTCCTGCAATACTTACACTGTCACATAATGAAATCACCACACGAACTTTTAATCATTTTAACTCAAATATTTCTACAAGAATACTTCATACTCCATACATTTAGTTTTATTTGTTTATCAATATTTATAAGGAATGCCATTATTTCTATTCAATTAACATTTATTGTGTAACAGAGGTTATATGACACTAAACTAGGCACTTTATGCATGAATACACAAAATCCAGATTCCCAATTCAGTGAACAGAAATGGAGATTAGTGTGTAAGGGTATGTGTATCTATCCACATATCTATTCAGGCCTAATATATATAAGCTTAAGTCTACTATTAATGATTAGATTTGTGAACCTGCTGTACAGGCATAAGAAGAGAATTAACCGCTTATCTAAAAACCATGGGTATAATTCAGCTCAGTGAATCCTTAGTTCCTTAGATCAGAGGAACAAGTGAATTCTGCCGACTTGTCAAAAAGGACCTATTTGGGGCAAAACTTGTCTTGGGTGCTCAAAACCGCACAAAATGGAGTTCCCAGCCCTCTTCCAAATGACCAATGGTGAAAGTCACCAGGTGGGAGGTAGAATTAGCAATGTCTTAGGAATGTGAGAGATAGAAATAGTAATTAATGTCTATTATTTCAGAACTAGAGAGCCCAGTGCATGAAATTCGTGCACTTGGGGGTGGTCCCTCAGCCAGCCTGTGCCCTCTCACAGTCTGGGAGCCCTCGGAGGATGTCCGACTGACGGCTTAGGCCCGCTCTCTGCAGGGAGCGGGCTTAAGCCGGCAGTCAGACATCCTTTGCACTGCTGTGGAGGCGGGAGAGGCTCCCAACACCATCACTGTGCTTGCCAGTTGTGAGCCCGGCTTCTGGCTGAGTGGTGCTCCCCCTGTGAGAGCGCACTGACCACCAAGGGGTAGCTCCTGTGTTGAGCATCTGCCCCCAGGTGGTTAGTGCACGTCATAGCGACCAGTTGTTCTGCTGTTTGGTTGATTTGCATATTAGCCTTTTATTATATAGGATGAACTGAGCTGTACACATAAAACATATCAATAAAGGTGAATTTAAAATGTATACTTCTCCCTTACACTACACATTGGATATCAATTGACATGTAATGGATTACCCATACCTCTTCTCCCCACAAATAACTACCTGACATGAGTGTTCATTACAGCTGATACCACAAAGATTATACATAGAAAGTGAAACAGAATGAAACTCATGCCAGTCAACCTTGCTCCCTATTGTCAGAAAGAATAAATGATGTGCCAAAGTAAGAGGTTGAGAGTAATGGATAGCACTAGAAGGCTCTGAATAATCAGCTCTATTAATCCCATTTTCTACTATAATGCACATAATTAAAAATTGGTAAAGTATATGTTTTATAAGTTCATGAAAATATGTACATACTTAATATATCACACACTTTTCACTAGAGGCCATCAAAAGAGCTTCTCTTGGAAAACAAACTCTGATCCCAGATAGTCTGTTCTCTTAGAGCCCTGTCCTTATTTTATGATGGCAGAATCATAATACTACAGAGAAACTAATTATTTGTCTTCCATAATGATATAGATTTCGAGAATAGAGATCACTTTTTTTTTGTATCCACACTGCCTGACACACTATAGGTGGTTAATAAATGTTATATTAATGAACAAATGAATGAATGACATGCATGGTTCTATATTATTTTAAATTCATACAATGACTCACTAGAGCAGCGGTTCTCAACCTGTGGGTCGCAACCCCTTTGGGGGTCGAACGACCCTTTCACAGGGGTCGCCTAAATACATCCTGCATATCAGATATTTCCATTACGATTCATAACAGTAGCAAAATTACAGTTATGAAGTAGCAACAAAAATAATTTTATGGTTGGGGGTCACCACAACATGAGGAACTGTATTAAAGGGTCGCGGCATTAGGAGGTTGAGAACCACTGCACTAGAGCAAAGAAAGGGGAAAAATAGATCGTCAATAAGCACCAGGTAGGCATTAGCAGTGCCAGAATTGGGTTGGAGGCTGTTTTTCTTGTGGGTTCCCCACAGTTCACAAGGCAGTGGCTGTTGAACTCTCTCAACTAAAGCACCTGAGGGAGACCTCCTCCTTCAGGGCTTCCTAAATATGCAGGACTCATGGAAAAAGAGGTTCTCCCTTAGGTTAAAGGTAGCTCATTCATTCATTCAGATACGTACTGAGTGCTTATTTTGTGCCAGATGGTATAGTAAAGCCTGATTGAAGGCTTCTGCACCCTTTATGTCCCTGTGTCTCCCCCAGCCAGCTTGAGAGATTTCTGAGAGCTTTTCTGAATCATAGAAAGGGGGGGAAATAGTTATAAAGAACAAGCTTATTTATCATAAACTCTGAAATCTCAAGAGACCATCTTATTTTTCACAAGAATAGACTTGCCTTGAAGCCATGTAGAAGTTAATTAAAACATCCCTACCCTGAAAAGCTTTGACTGAAAATGTCTTTAAGATTGCCTGAAAAACATCAAAATGCAGGAAAAATTATTGAATACTCTTTTCCTGGCTAACCCCTCACACTCTTGTGCACTTCTCACGGGACAGATTTCTCTGGCCATCTAACTTGTACTCAAAGCACAAAATGAAAGGTCACTCTGACATCTATCCAGACTCAGAGTTTTAAAATTCATCATCAAAGTACTGATAAAAATGTCTTTTCTTGCCTCTGTTCCAGGATTTAAAAGGATACAGATAAAAACAAGAGACATATAATCTCTTCCTGGCACCCAATGCATAGAATAGACTGAAACCTTTGAGTACAAATACTGGAACAAGTTCAACCTTTAAACAAAAGACATGTACTTTCCAAGTTCAGTCCAAAGTCTTGAAATAAAATCTCAATTCATAAAAAGGCGTGAGCAATGGTGAACTAAACTAAATTCAGTATCACAGCAAATGGCCCAAATAGTTAGAAACTAAGGTGGTAAAACAGACTAAAAAGGAATTCTGTTATCACAGGAACAAACTACTAAAAAAGTCACTTTCCATTTTCACATTCTCAATTTTTCTACCTGAAAAATGGTTAAAGTTTGCACTTTGCTCTTTTATAGACATACTAGAGGCCCGGTGCACAAAATTTGTGCATGGGGGGCTGGTGTGTGTCCCTCAGCCCAGCTGGCACAATCTAGGACTGCTGGCTCCCAACCACTCGCCTGCCTGCCTGCCTGCCTGATTGCCCCTAACCACTTCTGCCTGCCAGCCTGATCACCCCCCCTAACCACCCCCCTGCCAGTCTGATCGATGCCTAACTGCTCCTCTGCCGGCCCGATTGCCCCTAACCGTCCTCCCCTGCGGGCCTGGGGTTGCCCCCAACTGCCCTCCCCTCCTGGCCCGGTCTCCCCTAACGTCCCTCCCTTACCAGCTTGGTCGCCCATAACTGCCCTCCCCTGCCGGCCCGATTGCCCCTAACTGCCCTCCCCTGCCGGCCTGGTCACCCCAACTGTCCTCCCCTGCAGGCCTGGGGTTGCCCCCAACTGTCCTCCCCTGCAGGCCTGGTCGCCCCCCAACTGCTCTCCCCTGCTGGCCCGGTCTCCCCTAACGTCCCTCCCTTGCCTGCCCGATTGCCCCTAAATGCCCTCCCCTTCCGGCCTGGTCACCCGTAACTGCCCTCCCCTGCAGGCCTGGTTGCCCCTAACTGCCCTCCCCTGCTGGCCATCTTGTGTCCACATGGGGACGTCCATCTTCTGTGTTGGAGTGATGGTCAATTTGCATATCACCTCTTTATTATATAGGATAATACTCTGAACTCTTCGAAGATAATGTGTATAAATGGAATATCATAATGGTTAAATATGATAAAAATCACTCCTTGATATTGTTCAAACTATTATGTTGAAATTTTCCTTCTTTAAGATAGAACTTGGTGACATATTTCAACAATCCTCCTTCCTTTACTTGCCAATGAGTGGTCTAACTAGGATGAAAACAGGAAGGACAAATCAGATCAGAAAAGGTGAGATTGCTCAAGTAGCACTAGAGCCTACTAAGGCGAGCCCCAAATTACACAATTACTTCTGGAGTTGGTTAGGTTCACTTGGCATCTATTAGGGCTCACCAATACAAGACTGAAGGTTGGAGGTTTTTATAACACCCACTAGAGGCCCAGTGCATGAAATTCGTGCATTGGGGCGGGGGGTGGGGGGGTGTCCCTCAGCCCAGCCTGCACCCTCTCCAATCTGGGACCCCTCGGGGATCAGGCCTAAACCGGCAGTCAGACATCCCTCTCACAACCCGGGACTGCTGGCTCTCAACCGCTCGCCTGCCTGATTGCCCCTAACTGCTTCTGCCTGCCAGCCTGATCACCCCCTAACCACTCCCCTGCCAGTCTGATCGACGCCTAACTGCTCCCCTGCCGGCCCGATTGTCCCCAAATGCCCTCCCCTTCAGGCCTGACCGCCCTCAACTGCCCTCCCCTTCAGGCCAAATCGCCCCCAACTGCCCTCTCCTTCAGGCCCGGTCGCCCCCCAACTGCCCTCCACTGCCGGCCCGGTCGCCCACAACTGCCCTCCCCTGCCAGCCATCTTTGACCACATGGGGGCAGCCATCTTGTGCAAGGGCGTGACAGTCCATTTGCATATTACCGCTTTATTATATAGGATGATTAAGAACATAGGCACATCTTATGAGGCAAATGAAGTTTTTCAAATTCATGCAATCGTTTAACTAATAGAGGACAAGCCCACTAGGTGAACCAATGGGATTTATGAGGTTGGGTCTTCTATAGCAAGTGCAAGTGGCTTATCCGTAGGACCAAATAAAAACTTTGAGGAGATCTCAAAGTTTGACTAGTGCTTCATTACTATACCTGTGCTGTCCTGGAGTCAGTCACTTCCTTGTACAGGCTGATGTCCAAGTAATAGCCAGACTCGTTTGTCAGGAAGAGGCGGATGGGAATTGCTTTTCCGGTTGGTGTCAGGCGAATGTTGATTTTCAGTTCTGCCTGGAGGACGCGTAATTTCCACAGCCGACTTCCATAGCGCATTACCATGCTCCGCACAGATTCCTCAATCTGACACACACAATCACCAAGCACAAAACTTAAAAACCTGTAACTAGGACTTGTTTTAGGTCTGCCCATCTTTGGGAAAGGAAGAATGGAACAAGATGCTGGTTTCTCGAGATGTGTACATGTATTCCTTACAAAAAGTTGTATAGTTTCTCCCCAACCCTACTTTTGCTTAGATAAGTCAGGAACAATTTCATGCTGGCCTGTTGTATGAGCAGTTTTCTATGGCTAACAACACCCAAATGTGTGCAACTCCTTCCCCCTTTTCCAATTACATTCATATTCTATCTCAAAGGTCTGCAATATCTAAAATTACAAGCCATGGGATTTAAGAGGAAGCCCCAAATAAGAATAAAATCTCTAGTTAAATAGCTATTAAGTAGCATTTATATGCATGGTAACTATGTTTCATTGCACTTTCAGGACCTTAAATCAACATAGCAATTACCACCATGAACTTTTTTCCATACATTTTATTAAACTTTATAATATATGTCTCTTGGTAAATTGCACAAATTAAAAATAGGCAATTTGTAGGTGGTGCTAGAATGTTTTCTCTAAACAGAGCTCTGAAGCTTGGTCATTGCCAAGTCCAACTGGGATTTAAGTATATGAAGCAGATATTCCCTAGTTTCCCTAAGCTTTATACCAAATCAGTTTAGTGTTTCTAGTTTTCAGGGTCAGGTAAGTTATTTTAACCCTACAGCCTTAGGTGTGATTTCTCCTTATTGATACACTAGAGCAAAAACATATTTTCCAATATGGCTGCAGGCAACTGGACATACTACTCAAAATTAATGTTTCTTAAGTGAAGTATCTTTCTAAAATGCTTTCTCAATTCAGAAAACTCTGAAAAATAACTCACATCACCCTTCTCTTGTGGTTTTTCAGAAGTATATGCCACTCCTGCAATTTGTTTCTGCACCACAGAATTTTAGGTTAAAATGGGTTTTAAGGAGTTAACTTACCTATCCCCACAGTTGCTTGTTAACCAAGTGATATTTATCCATTCTTTTCTCAAGGGAACAAAAATCAACATTTCTCTATAAAGGAAATTAACAACTACCTATGATTAGAAAGGCAGAGCCAGGGTATATGGGTGTGTGGAGTAGAACAGAGAGGCTGATATAAAAATTCAATGAGAAATTGTAGGCTAAATCTAAAAATATATATAGTTATATAGTGTCCAGGCCATGTTTAAGTCTTTCAGCTTCATCTGTCCCAGAATGCTTAGGGGAACCTTTGCTTAAACTACATGATGAGACTTGGTACTCAATGAGTTGTCCTATCCTAGGCTTTCCTGACAGATAAAGCATCTGATCAATAGCTTGGAGTCTTGAAGAAAAAAAGTAGAAAAAGATTTTTCAGGTCTTACATACTAAGTTCAAAAAGCAAAAGTCTATGCCTACAATTGATCTTGAGAAAGGGGTATGCCCAGGTGGTGTGGCTCAGTGACTGAGCATCAACCTATGAATCAGGAGGTCAAGAGTTCCTGGTCAGGGCACATGCCCAGGTTGTAGGCTCAATCCCCAGTAGGGGACGTGCAGGAGGCAGCTGATCAATGATTCTCTCTCATCATTGAGGTTTCTCTCTCTTTCTCTCCCTTCCTCTCTCTCTCAAATCAATAAAAACATAGTTTAAAAAATAAATAAAGAGGTATATACTGGTTCTCCAATCCAATTCCACAATATGAAAGAAAAAGGTTAGAGGGAGCAGCAGCAGAGAGCAGCCTTCTATGGGATAAAAGGTCAAGTACAGAATCACTTTGTTTTCCTTAAGTTATATGGAATGCATTTTAGAACAGAGCCTCAGGGAAGAAAGCATACATAATACTTGTGAAATTCCTTATTAGCCAAATTTTCTACCTGTGGAAAAATACTAAATACAAACAGGTTAGATACTTGGGAACGTATATGACATCCCTAAGCCACGAGCTAAGTAACATTTAGTACGAGGCAGTAATTTTGCCAAAATGCCCAATACCAAGTTAATTATTCTAGATGAGAAATCCTAGGGAATTATATAAGATAGGACTGCTATCATGGCAAATATCATTATACAGGTACCAATGGAGGAAGTGGAAAAGTTTTTATGTTTTTGTACTGCTTATAAATAAATGACCAGCAAGATAAATCATACCACCTTCATTCTTGAGGTCTGCTTTTCAAAGCTATAGCAAATTTCTGACACCATCCCAAAAACCAGTCTTATAAGCATTCTGTAAACTTTAAATATCAAGGGCTCAACCAGCTAATCAAGAGTACCTGTGTCCAGGTCCTAGTGAGAATAAATATGAATGAATCTCACTGCTTGCGTTTGCTACTTCTGGGAGAGAAGCTAAGAAGAAACGTACCTTTGATGGATCCATGATGACCGTGGGCACAAAGTTGAGGAAGATGTGGTTGCAGTCAGTACGAACATTTGTATTATTAAAAGCGACTTCCAACTCATCCATGGCTTCCAGGAGCAGCCGCTCCCCTTCATTTTGTAGATATTCAAAAGAAGCTTCCTATGCAGGATGAAATCAACATTAATGTGTTTTAAGAGGCAATAATGAAATGGCTATTATAATTACTTAAGGCCCAGCGGTTCTCAACCTGTGGGTCACCAACAATGAAAATACATCCTGCATATCAGATCTTTACATTACGATTCATAACAGTAGCAAAATTACAGTTATGAAGTAGCAACGAAAATAATTTTATGGTTGGGTCACAACATGAGGAACTGTATTAAAGGGTCGTGGCATTAGGAAGGTTGAGAACCAGTGAATTAAGCGGTGGTATGTCATGAATCATAAAGCACCTGCTAGAAGTGCGTTGACCTTTCTCCCTAGTCAACCCAATAACCACAGGCAGCAGGGGCAGGCAGGGTCAGATTAAGAATTCCTGCAGCCCTGGCTGGTGTTTCTCAGTGGTTAGAGCATTGACCCATGGCCCAAAGGGTCTCAGGTTCGATTCCTGGTCAAGGGCATGTTCCTGGGTTGCAGGTTCAATGCCTAGCCCTGGTTGGGGCGCGTGTGGGAGACAACCAATCGATGTGTCTCTCTCACATCGATGTATCTGTCTCTTCCTCTTTCCCCCTCCCTTCCACTCTCTCTAAAAAGTCATGGGGAATAAAAATATCCTCTGGTGTTAACAAAAACTAAAAACAAAACAAAAAAAAAAAAAAAGAATTCCTGCACTCTTCCTCCTGTCTCTTAGTGTATCATTTCCTTCCAATAGGTGGGGATACTGGAATCCCAATAGGGTTACACCTCACATATGCCAGAGCAGTTTAGAAAGGTTATGGCTATGGGATGTAGTAATAACTAACACACCAGGAAGCACCTTGCTATGTAGAGAAACTACCCTACCTTTAGACAAGTTTACAATGGGGTCACTTCTAACTTGTCTCACTACCCTCTGTCATCCATCACCTAACTCTCCTGTGATTTTCTGTTAATATGCTTTTCCTTCTCTCAGGTGAGAGTTACTATGATTCCATTACCAAGGAAATTCAAATGAAAGGGGAAAAAGTTTGTTATTATATGGAATATTTACTTCTGTAAGAGGAATGATTCTCAGACTTCTGCTGGTTATTAGAGAGTGAGATGAACAAGAGCTTTGACTCAAAAAGAGAAAACCTAATTTTGAACCATGACTGTTCCTCTGTCCCTTCCCTCAGGGATAACTTCCCATTAAAGTACAGCACCCACCTTGGTGACCAGATCAGAATGTCTGATGATCGCACGGACAAAGAACCTATAGTCTGTCACTTCTGTGCCCACTTCCACTTTGGCTGCCCCAAGATACAGGTGCATCTTGTGATTAGCACATGGAATGGCAGTGAGATCAAAATTTCTCATCCGGTTCAGCTCTAACTGGAAGGCGAGGGCAGGTTCCAAGTGACGATAAATACGATCCTCCTCAAACTGAGCACAAGAATTGGAGAAAAAACAGCCCATCAGAAGTGGTTACAGAATGATATTATTAATGCGTACTTATGTAAAAGAGATGCTTAAAAATAAAAACATAAGCTATGATGTGCTAATGAACAACAAAAATGGTCTACATTCAAGGATAATGCTATAGCTTACATAAGGTTAGGCGCTAAAAAACCTATTTAACTTCCCAAGCTTTCATCATTTATGCTTTTACAAGTGATGATGCTCTCCATTAAAAACAAACAAAAAAATCAATTCCCCTAGAACTCCTGTAGCATTTAATATCTTTATAATTCTTTTTTTTTTTTTTTAACAATGAACTACAAACTGTTTCACATTAACAACTACTTCACATACCAGTGTTTTGGTTTTACCCACCTAGTCTAAAATGCTCATGGGCAAAACCCATGTCTTATACTCTTATAATTTCTGGCACAATACAAAGGACACAGTAAATACTTGACAAATGAACATTATATAATTTTTTAAATAGAGGTATTTGGCTTTGAAACATCCTATATATACATATACATATATATCTTAAGAACTATATTTACATTTAATATATTTTTTTGCTGAAATTAAATTGTTTTTCCAGAGTACATGTCAATTGAGTGAATGGTAACAGGAAGAAACTAACACAGTCTGAAAGTTTGTATTTTAAAATTTGAAAAACTGTAACTCTGAATATAAACAAAGTGTAGGTGATGAGAATAATCCTACTAAGTGTAGCAGTCCTTTAATATCACATCAAAAGCATAAGGATGATTTTGAAATGTATTGCTTTCTTGGGTAGGTCAGTATATTCGATTATTTCCTAAACCAAACTCTTTCAGAAGACAGTCTTCTTTCGTTCTAAGATACATGTAAGGCAAAGGGAAGCACAGATTCAATTAGAGAAAAAAACGGCAAAGATATGCCACTCTTAGACTTGTAAGGAAAAAGAAACATAAAAATAAAACAAAACAGAGGGAAGGAATTAGTTCTTACCTTATCCCTTGCTCGGAACGTGAAAAATTTAGGGAATTCTCTCTGTGTTAAAAGAAGGGGAAAATGTATCAGTCCTTCATAGATATGGTTCTTTGGGGATCAACATATAGTACAGAAGCACTCAAGCATCAAAAGACAGTTTCTTAGAAAACACAATCCTTACTGAACCTTAGCCTAGGGAATGTGAATGATCCTCTGGGTAACCATCACTTTGACCCCACTTCCACATTTGAGAATCACCACACCATTAACCTAACTTCAATAGTTACCCTCTCTTGGGGGGTGGGGAGAGGGCGGGGAATTGTATTTTTTCATCTCCCAAGTGAGAAAAAAAAAATTCTTCCTGGGTGTTGCTCTTGGCACAACCTGGCAAATAAAACCAATATACTCTCTAAGCTTCTGCACTGCAATAGCAGTTATTGGACTGATTTCCCAAGTTTCCCCTTAAGAAACTCTTAAAATGAAACTAACCAGAAAGCATAAAATCCCCAATCCATGTGTCTTCCTCATTCACTCTCAAATCAATAATCTGAAGGGTTTAAACAATAACGTTTGAAGACAAAAGTAAAGATGTTACTTTGGTCACTACCACTACATGTGTAAGAAAGAATGGGGTGGAACTAGTGAACATAGAATCATTTGGTCTTACCGCTCTTTTACAGGGCATTACAAAAGAAAGCAACCAATTTACTAGAACCTTATTAATTAACAAAGATGAATTCAATTAGCAGAGTCCATTAGTTTCTGAAATTTAACTTATTAACACCAAATACCCCCGTTTCTCGGATGGAAAGCTCTATTGGTGGTGTTAGAGTCAAGTCATTACTATGTGCCTCTATAGGAGGTTTCATTAGGCATCTTCTTCATTATGAGTGCAAGATAATCAAACACTCATTGGGACAAGACAGAGAAACCAGGACCGGCTGCATAAATGTCTCTCAATGAGCTTTAGGAACCATGAAGGAAACATGAGCTGAAATGAAAGCCTGCTAGGTGGCAGGCGCTCCCATGTGTTGTCCCCTTGAATGCTCTCAACAACCTCTCGAGGTTAGGTATCCCATTTTACAGCTGAGGAAGCCATGACCAAGTGATATGCCCAGTATCAGAAACCTAGAATATGAACTTGGGTCTCTTCATGCCCTTCATCTCTACCACACTACTTCTCACGTGTAGAGCATTACCCCTCTATTTTTGTTATAACCCAGATTCAATAGAAGTCTTCTCTTTAAACAGAAATTTAAAAAAAATTTAAAAAACAAAGCAAAACTCATACTGAAAAGTTGTGGTTCATGAATTTACTGAAAACTTATTAAATACTTTCCACAGGTATTACACCTCACCCTCACCTTAACTATAGCTTGCACAGTTAGTAAACCTTCTTACATTTTTCTTGCATTTTAACTGTAAAATTGCATTTAACAGGCTTCTAGGAGCTTGTTTAGCAAGCCTGGGAAACCCCCTATCCAGGCTTAGGTCTTTAAAAGTCTTTTGAAAGTGAACTTTACACAGCACTGATATTTTACTGATGGTGTTTTCATTCTAAGTAATTCTCTAATTCCCCTGAATAATAGTAAAGAACATGGGGATGACTTCAAGGTTAAACAGAAAGATGTTCAGCTGCATTGTCAGTAGGGTATATGCTCAGGGCTTTATAGTCTCATTTTTGTTTTATTCTTGAGAAATATGGCTTTCAGAGCACTACCTAAGGTAACACAAGTCAAAAAAGGAAGGGTAACAAAATACTTTCATGAAAATTTCTGAAAGGAAAGTGATGTACTAAATAAATATTTTACCTAATTGTTAAGACAGAATAGAAGAGTGCGATAAACATTAATTAATTAAAATATTTATTTAGTACATCATTTATTTAAATGACTATTTTCCTTCAAAAACGTAACAATAGAAACCAAAAAACACTTTTTTTTTTTACCACTTAAACCAACTAAAAAAATTTGTAGTAACTGAAAGGCATGAAAAGCAAACAATTTGAATAGAAATGCCTTTATTACAAATAATGAAAGAGACTGACTAATTCTTGGCAGAGGTGGGAATAGACCACCAATAAGAAAAACCACTTTCATTAAAGTTAGCTAAGAAAAGGTGTTATGAGATAATATCAGCAAACATTTTTTGAGTAAATTTTAGCTCTACAGAAAAATCCTCAATTTAAGCTTAAAGCATTCAGAACAGGAGAGTAAGAACTTCTGTGCAATGGGACAGCAGGATTAATGAGCAATTCTTCAAGTCTGAGGACTTTTATAGAAAGTCACCTCTTTTTGGCATTCACACACACACAAACAAAAATCACAGGAATACAGAAAAACACAGAAAAAAAGAAATACAAAAGTCTGATCCTATAGTTTTAGTAAATTCCTTCATCCTACCTCATCCTCATATTGCCAATTTTTCCACTAACTGCATTCATGCTTATTCTATCACTAATATAATTGCTTTCCAGACATTCTACTAGTGTTATGGGTAAATATCATAATTGAATGTACACAAAGAAAAACCCTCTTAGTGTTCTGGTACCAAAAAACAAAAGAATGCAACATTTCTCAGGAAGAAATTATACCCCTGCTGTGTTCTAAATCAGCCAACCATCATCAAGACAATCAAAATAATTTGACTAAATTAGCCAATCAAGACACCCTGCAAATCAGAGAATGTGAAAACCTGCAACAGAAAACATCATAGCTGATTATGATACTAATAATCGTGTTAAAAACCTAATGAGATGAAGAAATTGAAAGCTTGCTGGTGCAATTCTCTTTTACCTCAACATGCTGAGAACTAATTATATAGACTGTAATTAAAACAAAAACCCAAACCAAACCTTCTGAAAAACTAATAGTTGATCCACTAGCAAACAAAACTACCAATTTTTTTCAGCTTTATTGAGATATAGTTGACATACAAATTTTTTTTAAAGAAACGAACTACTTAACCATGATAACTCTTTTCAATAGTGGGCTCTTCCTTCCAAAACATTTCATTTTAAAGTGCGAGTTATTTACATAAAATCAATAAAAGTGCATCTAGGCTATTTATAGCAGAATTTTAAAAATCTCATGAAATCTTACAAACAAGAATCAAAAGGAAACTTTACAGATGCAAAACTGATTTAGAATCTCATCACAGTTTTTGGCCCTAATGCTCTTGCTTAGGTGGCAAAGGATAAGAAGAAATCCTGAAAATGTACATTTTAGTATTCTTAAAACACTTTGCTGAAAAAATATGGAAACTTCAAAAAGTATAATACTTATATTCCAGTTAAATAGCACCTTCTGCTGCACGTTTTGGAACATGAAATGTGAGTGAAACGAACAGACTTAATAAATACTACATGAATGCAGAGAGCTGCAGCTTTCATAGCTGCAAAAATTCAAAGCCTGTTCTTTGGCTTTCAAGGTTTCAATATTTTTTTAATATGAAGAAGATATTTATAAGAATAGGCTAATTTTTCCTCAAATGTTCTGTTATTATAGTAATGTTAAGCAGTTATTCAAATCCCATGATAGGTACTTGATTTAATTACATGGTCTGGAAACAGACTCGACACCAAGTGTCCTTAATGCTGACAAATATTGCCAGCTCAGAACAGGCTTCATGTAGAGTCAAGAGACTAAGGTAGCAGCAGGCATTCCAGTGGGACTGTGGAGATTAAACATCAAATTTTTGGAAATGCTTATAGCCTTCACTGTATCTGAAAAAAACACCTAACAATATACCCACTCTCTAGGAACCTCTACTCTGGCCCTCGTTTGCCTTGTTCTGGTTCTGAAATGGTCTGAGAGACAACTATGCAACAGTAGAGCTGCTTCATCCACACCAGCCAATGTTGTTCTTGAACCCAACTTGGTAACCTTCCTCCTCTCCTTGCCCTCTCATGTACGCTTGCTTTCTCTCTTCTATTCAATAATATAGGGATTTCACAGTGTGGAACAGGAGAGACTGCATACATCACAGTGGATTACCAAGAAGCCAGAGAGATCAAGGGATTCATCTCTAACACTCACGGAAAGCTTCCTCTTTTTCACACTACACTAACTATGGGGCAAGCACACATCAGATGACATGACAAAGGCTAAGCACCCTTCATGATGGTAAGCTACCACCAACAGAGGAACTTACAGCAACACCATGGCAGTGAGCCCTGGATTTGTACAGCTCCTGCCAAGGGGTCCTGGCTATTGTAGATCCTGGATGGAATTCAGTAATAGTTGCCCTTGCCCCCTGTGTAACCGCTAATCATTTCTAAGGGGCCTAACATAAAAATAACCCAACTCCTCTGCCATTCAATGCTTCAGAGAAAATCTAGTCTCCACCTTAATTTCTCTAAGTTCTAAAGCAACCTTTCCTACATTCATGACAAATCACGTCACTTGGTAATATAACCAGTTTCCCACTTGATGTCACTATAAATAGGAACTGGACCATGATTCCTAAGAAAGACCCATAGCCGGGCTCATTTCTAAGTAGATTTTGCCTGTACATGTCCCTCTTCAACCTAAGTCCAGAAATATTAGAACAGAGAGGGAAAACATGTTTTAAAGCTATACACACACACACACACACACACACACACACACACGACATAGATTTAGCAGTAAGACAAGATATATTTTTTTTCTATGTATAAAACACACTAAAAAATGCCCGTAATAATTAATTGCTTTGGCTTTTAAAAATTTTTAGTAGAGAGTTTTAATTTATCATGAAAATGCTTATTATGGGAAACCAGTTCACGTGCTATAAACATGAAGGCTCCATCTGAACCACTAGGAAAAAGGAAAACAATTTTACAAATTCAACATGATTCTCCAGAAAAATATAGTATCCCAAAGTCAGTGAAAAAATAAAAATCAGGTTAAAGTTTAAGAACCTAGCCCAATATTCTTCCCAAATCCAGGGCCTGGCTCTGGCATGTCTACCTTAGCTCTGATCAGCATCCACTGGCCACAGTATTTATTCATGTCTCTCATATTCTATCCCCAAGTATCAATTTTATTCTCTAAGCTTTGGATTTTTCTTCCTAAAGCTCCAGGGTTCCCTTTAAGCTCCTCATACTTCTTCACTGTCTCCAGTTTCCTATCTAAAGTTATTGATTGATATGTATCTGTACTCTGCTTGGCTTCCTGACATCAATAACATAGGGGAGTTGTGTAGTCCACAACACTTCCTAGAGCATTTCAGAGAATCTTAGCTCTTTAGTTTGCAGGGTAGACTCTCTTGTTTCTCTATAGACTAGACCAGCGATTTTCAATCGGTGTGCCACAAGAATTTTTAAAACATGCTATTTAGTCAGGGGTACTGACCTCTTTTCCCTTAGATTGTTAAATTAAAAAATGACAATAGCCAACACTACAATAGCCGTTCGGTGTGAATAAATCAAAATTATAACCATTTTTTGTCATATCAGCAAAAAACATATTTTTTGGTGTGCCACAGAATTTTAGTAATTAGTTTATGTGAGCCATGGGATTAAAAAGGTTGAAAATTGCTGGACTAGACCAACAAGGTGAACTGTTAGAAGGAAAACGAAATGTCAAGTGCTAAAGATCTAATAAACAAAAGGGCAATAAAAGCAACCACACATAGGTCTTTAAGTTTAGAAAGTCATTTCCAGAATCCCAAATATTATCTTCATTATTGCAAATAAACAGGCCTTGAAAACTAATTTAATTATCTTAATTGATAAAACAAAATTCTTATCAGGAAAATTAAGGCTTCCTAATATCCTCTGGAATCTTAGCTATATTAGGATCAACTTATAAAGAAATATTTTTACTACAATCAGTCATTTTAGAGAATGACATCTTTATTGCAAACTGGGTTTTTGGTCTTAGTGCTATCATCATACCGATCATATGGGTATACTTTAGTTCAGATATCAGGCTAATAACTTACTTCTTTTTTCAATAAAACTTTTAATCTCATAAATATTAAGTTAATTCAGTTAAATAGGAGAACAAGCAACTTAATGTGCAATTTTTATTTATTTCCTGCTCCTAAAATTAACATAAGACAAAAGTACCAAGTTAGGCTCGGTTAAGGCATTTTAATAATAAATGATTGTTTCTCATAATTGATAATTCTCAATAATAGAACTTGAATCCTTTTTGGAAAAAGCCAAGACCCCAAAGAGCAATTGACAGCTCTCGATTATTGATTCACTGTGTGCGTAGAAGAAATTAGCTCCTGCTTCTACCTTATTCATCCAGATAAATGTATATGCTCATTCTTAATTATTTCTCAGAGATATACTGAGAATGTTATAGGGTAGAAAAAAACAACAACCATAGAAGAATCGAATAGTCATTATAATACTTTCTAAAAGAAGTGGGACCAAACATCAGTCCAGCCCTTCTAAATAACTCACACATATTCTATGTTTAAATAATCAATGGGAAACAGATAAAACAGTAAATAATATTTCATTATTGTTCCTTTTACTTACATGAAATCTCTGATCCACCTCATAGCTGATCTGTTTCCTAAAATCCTTTCAAATGAAAGACAGAAAGGAAAGAAATAATAAATTTAAACCCAAATTGAGTAAAAGATGAGTTAATGTTTTTCTTAAACTTATAGAAAACAGTTATTTCTCAGCATAAATTCTACAAATAAGTTTATGATTATAACTCCACTTCCTGATTTTTAAAAATTCTAGCAGCATCTTAAGAAATGTTAGACAGTACGCCAATACCTTTTGTGCAACCAGGAAAGTAAGGCGGCGGATTCCATGCTCAACCAGAGTAGCTTTCTATGGAGAAACATGTAAAATAAAAGATAGATAAGATCTCCATTCATCCTAAATCTTACCCCAATTCAGTCCTCCACAGGCTCTAATTGGGCTAAACATCCTTTTTGGTTATCTATCTATGTTTTTGGCTAAGTACCTTCAAACTTGCAAATAAATAAATCTCAATCTGGATCCTGGGACTAAGTCTTATGGGATAGGTTTTATATTGATCTGGACAAAATTGAGAGAGAACTTTGTGTAGGAAAAGCAGTCATATGAAGTCACCTAAGTTCTCTAAGGTCTGATTCACTTCAAGGTAGATTTTAGCACAATTCTACTTATAGAAATCACATTGGTGAGCATGTTCAAATGTGAAGATTAAAACTAAAACAGAAGATAAATGAAATCAGGTCATTCAGATCAGAAGAAGAAGAAAATGTCATAAAGTGGAAATTTCAGGTTCTAAATTGTTGTTTAAATTATACATAGCACCTACCATCATATATAGCATTCCTAGAATCCAACCTAACAAATCCTGATCTTTTCATTTATTCTAGAACATGCCTCCCCCTACTTTACATGAAAGTATTTTTTTAAAAAATTCTCTTTAAAAATTGCTAAAAGCAATGTCTAATGGACTTTTAAATTTAGTGATTATTCATATTTCCACTTGGCATGGCTGAGCAGTGTATCAGAAGGCAAGAGAGACCAGCAGTTACAGGACTGTCTCATATGAGTCTTGGGCCTTTGGATCTAAGCTTTCTTCTATCTGTACTGCTCATTTATCTCAAAAGGCAGAGACAAAGAAACAGTTTAATGAGCTAAGTAAACAGCATGATCTTAAAGGGCCCTAGCAAAGAGGGGCTACATGGCAACAAGTAGAAAAGCAATCTCACCAGTTGAATGACCTGTGAAAATATATGAGAAATACAAATAGAAAAAATATGTGGGCTTTTGCAACCTATGTCCAGACTTTCGTTTCATCAATTCCTTGCTATAACTCTAGCCAAGAGATATGTTCATAAGCCAATTCTTGATTTTCATGATACCATATATTTTTTAAATTCAAATTGGAGTCTGCTTATAAATAAGCACATTCCCAAGCCATTTCCTCCTATTGGAGAACATTTTCTATTATAGCATTTGCTTAGTAATAAAATTAATTAGCAACATAAGCAAAATATAATTGGAAAAATAAATTTCCTAGTAATAAATTCCCTGGTCAAATTTACATAAATTTTGGTTTAATAACATTTAAAAATTATCTGTACTGACATCATAACTGTTATTATAAATAACCAAGTATTGATACTACAATAAGAAAAGGAAGAAAGGGAGGGAGGAAGGGAAGACAGAATGGAGGAAGGAAGGAGTGAAGGGAGGAGTGGAGGGAGGGGTGAGTGGTGGTGGTTCTCGATCTTTCAGTGTGCCAAGGAACAGAAACATTTCTTCTGACACCACCAACAAAGAATTCCACCACAGCCAAGCCCTTCAAAGACAAGCATCAATAGCTATGTTCAGGCAAGGGAAGAAAATAACTTTAATAATGCCATGATTTAAAGTCAAAATTGTTATTGCTTTTAAAATTCCACAAGTGGCTGACAATAACAGCAGAGCAACAGGATTCTGATTACATTGTAATAATGTGGGCCTCACAGCAAGTCCACAGCTATTACCCAGCGATTAGGCGCCAGCACCTGGAGAAACTCCATTTACACTGACTGCTTCAATCTCCTCCACAAGTCATTTACAAATATATGATCCTAATTTCTCTGAGAGAAAAAAAGACATGCTGGGACTAGAAGATTATTTGGACAATTTGGATCAACCTATTTGATAGTTTAATGTGTGCTTAAAAAAAAAACTTTTTCTAAACTGCTAGGAACATGATCATGAAGTGAAAAATAAAACTAGTTATTTCAGCTTTTTTTATTACCTTTCCTTATTTTTATTTTTACATTCTTTTCAAAACAAGGAATTGAAAATGCCTAATATTTCTGGATAAGCACAGTACCTGATGCAGTTAACAGCTTCTCTAGGCATGGAATGTCTACCCTTACCCTTCTGAATAGCCTCGGGCAAAGACAATGGATTTCTCTGTGCCTCAGTTTTCAAGTCCAGTAAAAGAAAAAGGTAGTTTCTTATTGCCAATTAATGTTATAAATTTATGTAGTGAAGATGAAGAAACTGCCTCTTTAAATCAACATATCATGACATACAGCACTAAGATCTGGGGGTAATAAAAAGCCTACAGTTGAGGTCCAAACAATCAAATAAGGGCAATTAGTGCCTCAAAACCTGAGAAGAAAATTTCAGATTATCTCAGCAAATAGCAGCATCAGCAGTCATGAACATTAGCACTCTTCCAGCTAAGGTTTCTTTGGTCCCTGGTTTCAGGTTAATTTTATGTGTTCACAAGACAAGGGCAAAAAGAAAGGTAAATTTCTCTTCTAAAGAAAAATTCCCAGGCATGTCCCCTATTTTCACTTTTCTGTAAGTGCCTTTCTTCAGGTTGGCCACTATAATCCCAGAGCAACATGAAGTAAATGCTAGGACTCATGTTAAGCACAAAGTTACCATCTTTTCCCAGGTATCTACCATTAGCATTACATGATGTGAATGCCAATGGCATTAATTGTTTATACTGCTAAATCAAGCTTTTAAAAATCTATTCAGTTCTTTTTTTTTATAATAAGCACTATAGCTAGGTAGTTCCCATTCAAAGAAAACACATGGGTCTTTGTCATTAAGGACAGCTGAAGAGGACACTTTGGCATCTATCATATATTGCAATGACATGTAACTATATGCAGACTATCATTTTGAGCATGCCTACCCAGTCCCTCCAACTAAACTTGAAGCATCTTCAGGGCCAAAAGAATACATTATTTACTAAAGCACCTAGATCTGTGGCCCCGAGAGGTGGAATCAAAGCCTTAAATACTAATTTTTGCTCCATCATCTACCAGCTGGTGATCAAAGGGGGGAGGAGGGGGCTTTAATTAATCTCTCTGAGTTTGAGTTTTTCCCCAAGTGCAAAACTGATATAATTCCTAACTAATCTAACCTCATGGGACTGTGGTGAGGTGCAAATAAAAAATTGTACACAGAAGTTCTTTATAAATAAAAAGTATTATTATTGCTAGTGAATGTATGCTGACCAATTAAAAGTTCAAGGGAGGAAAAATACATTTTAGTTAGGGCTATTCAGAGAAGTACTCATAGAAGAGGTGAAATTTGAAAAAGTCTTTAAAACAAGCAGGATTTGGAAAGAGAGAAAGAGAAACATTCCGGGTGAGGGGCAGTAGAAGAGACGAGACACAAAGACTTAGGTATTTTCACGGAACAGTGAAGGCTAGATTGTTAGCCTTCGTCAATAGGCTGATGTTAAATATCAAGTTAAGGAGGCATCCTAGAAGTAACAGAGAATCACTGCTGAGTGGGAGAATAATTTGGTAAGAGGGCATTTTTGGCCATTTAATTTTTTGGTGGTGAACAAAATAGAAACTATCGGGAGGGGAAAAGTGAAGGAAGATAGGTAGATCGCAAGTAAACCTGTTGTAGTGTCTCAGGTGTGAGGTGAATAAGGTTTCAAACCAGAGAGATGGTAGAGGGAATTAAAAATCTGAAAAGAAAGAAAGGGAAGAAGGGAGGGAAAGAGACAGTACAAACAAAAAACAGACCTTGGGGACTGACCAGATACCAATAAACACATAGATTGTGGTAGAGGAGCAGCATCATGCAATGGCAAGGAAAAAGAGGAAGTCAATGATTTCTGAATGACTGGTTACTTGGGTTTTTTGTTTTCGTTTTGTTTGGGGGGAGGAGGGAGCAGATGAGGGGTCAGAAGAGGTGAAGGAAAATGATGAAAATTTAGGTTTAAACTATGAAGTTTGATGTCAGTGCGAGATATATAAGTCATACAAAATTGAAAGGAGAATGGAAGTATAACTGATACCTTTAAGGGAGGGGATAAGAGGATACAGAAGAATCCTGAGGGGATTGTGGACATAGACATGTGGAAGTAAGCCACCAAAGGAAAATAGTCAGCAGGGGATTCAAAGTTCAAGACTGGAGCTCTGGGAAAGATTTAGGATCACACTTCCCTTCCTAAAACATTTTAAATAGTTGAGGTCTATATTTCTTGACATAAAAAGATATTCATTATCCCTTTGGAATTTTACCCCTAAAGGCAGAGAACTATGTGAAGGACATAGTCATCAACAGTGAGAGGCCTTACAAGCAGCAACTGATAAAAAGATGGGTATGATACCCAGCCAGCAGGAAAGGAGCCGTCACAGGTTTCCACCCAGCTGAGGGCTTACGTTTTGCTGGGTAAACTCTCTGAACATCGCTGCCAGCCTGTCATCCTCAATATCACAGTCAGTCTTGATAGCCACATTCAGAATGTGAATAGGTTCATCCCTGGGGACCTGTAACTCAAGAACACAAGACAAAGACATTAGGAGACTGGCTAATACAGAGGCAGAGAAAAATTATAGTACTTGGTAGAATGACTAAAAAAGAGATATACCCCACAGGACATTTTGATTTGCCCACTAGCACTATAAGCAAATTGAAACCACCACCCAACATCCACAATGGAGATTGAATGAAGTAAAACATCCAACTTTTAAAAGATAAGGCAGCAAAGGCATTAGCTAGAAGTGGCCCCACACCTTGACTTGACATGTCCTTGAAGATCAGTCTCAATTTTGTCACCAATAAAATGGGAATGAAACCAACTGCCACATCTCTTCACAGAAGGTGAAGAAAAATGAGTGAAAGAAGCCATCTGAACATATTCCCTCATAATACATTTCCTAACAATTTATCATACAGTAAAAGTGTCAAACCACAGAAAAACAACCTGGTAGGGAAAAACAACAACTTGTTTACTGAGAAATGAATAGAAGGGATTTAATAAAAGGACAAAGTTTTAAACAAAATGCGTATTATTCCTGCTATCTAAAGTCTACCATTCCCTGAAGATTATAATAGTACCACTGTGCAAATATCCAAGCCATTACTACATAAGAATTGAAGCAACCAAAGCTGAAGTTTTTGAAACAACATTCAGAGACCCAGAAGCAGCTACAATAGATACAGCCGAGCCTATTCCACAGTATGGATTCCAGGATTAATATGTTTTAGGTCAGAATTTATATTCTACAAATTTCCAAAAATACTTGATAAAGTATATAAAATTAAATAATAAATAGTAGGGTAAAAAGATGAATTCCTGCCCTGGCCAAGTTTTTCACAGTGGTTAGAGCATCAGCCCGTGGACCAAAGGGTCACAGGTTCAATTCCTGGTCAAGGGCATGTTCCTTGGTTGCAGGTTGGATCCCTAACCCCGGTCAGAGTGCAAACAGGAGGCAACCAATCGATGTGTTTCTCTCACATCAATGTTTTTCTCTTCCCTCCCTCCATTATCTCTAAAAAAGAAAAAAAAAATCAATGAAAAAAATATCCTCAAGTCAGAATTTTTAAAAAAGATGAATTCTTCCCTATAACACTCCAAAGTCAGAAAGACAGTATATACATAGTACAAGTCATGGATCTGAAGGAGCAAAGCAGTCTCCCAACGGGACAGTATACCTTGTCTTCATCGTATAGAGACGTGTGACCTGCCTCAGGGAATGTGGGGCTTTGGGGTGGGGAATCACAGAAGCAGCCCATCACTTCACCAAAGATCCTGAAAAATACCAGAGAAAAACACCCACCATGAAAATCCAAGTGGCAGAATATGAACGCTGCCACTGCCAGCTCAGTCTAAAAGAATAATCTACCCTACCCTGTGCTCAACAGTCAACTGAACGCAATCACGAGTGGCTAGGGGTGATATGCAAAATTTCACCAAGTGGCAGAAATTAGGGGGATGGATTGTTTCAACTTTAATAAAGCATATTTTTTTCTTTTTAATAAAGAATGAGCTAAAGCTTTTTGTTTTGCTTTTTTCATATGTAAGATATGAGCACTGCTGTCATCATCAGTCTTAAAGTAACAGAAAGAGCCTGGGACTGGAGCAGTGACAGACCAATGTAATTACCCCTCCCCCTAGGGTAATGCATCAGTATACATCAAGAGATAGATGCTGAATGCATTTAATCAAAAGATGTATCGTCTCTGGTGGGCTCACTCTAGTGTTGTGTTTAATTTCTCCTGACATTTCACTCATCACAGAGCAGACAGCTTCTTCTGCTAGCTCCTAAGGAAAAGATGGTTTTTGTTTGTTTCTTTTTTTCTGACCAGGCTCATATAACAACTAGAGGCTTGTAGAGTCTGAATAAGAGGTAGAAATGGAAGGACATATACCTCTCTGAGGGCATATACAGCAAGGGCTACATCTCCTTAGCTGGCTCATGGCTCTTCTGGGGACCTTTATTCATTTGGCAGAAATCTGAGACCCCCAAAACACAGACGCCCATCGCTCCTCTTGTACATACACAGCTCCACAATGTCTTACCTGACAAAATCTTCAAAAGTCCGAAAAGAGACCATTCCACCCATCCGCTGGCATGGTGGAGTGAACGAATTGTCCAACAGCACGTCGCTGACATTAGCTACATGAGTCATGCCACAGTGGTTGAGGTTGGAGGAGAAGGACATTCTAAATGGTAATTCAACCAAGCGTGTTAGACAAGGAGGGTAGGAGCAAGGGCTGGGAGAGTAACAATAGAGAAAAGGAGCTAGGAGAAAACTCAGAAATAGGGTCAGGTTGCAGAGCAGATTTGGTTTTTTACCCAGTATGGATAAGGCTGTCTTGCTATAGTCACATTAACCCTTTCATTTGAATTCCACCACCACCACCACCCCCTGCCCCCTGCCCCATGTATACAGACACACAAACTATATTTTTACCACTCCAAAATCTCTCCAAATAAAAATCTAAGGACTGTCAGGAATTTCATGGCAGTTTTAATACAATGACATCATGGCATGTCTGATGAATAAACAGCACATAGGGGTTAAAAACCATTCTGCATCTTCCCCTTCCCTAAAACATTTCCTATTTTAAAAGAAAGTAAGCAAGCCAAGTAAGTTGTAACTAGGCAACACTTAAGGCATTTTTCTCTAGTAACTGTAATAGATTAAGTATTCACAGATAGATATATGCATGTGCGACAACTCTAAGTCATTTGGAATGGTTTAGTAGATCATTATAAAAAACATTATTTACCATACAGAAACAAGTCACAGTCTATAAAAGGAACTTATAAAGTATTTACTTTTTTCTTTAATGGGCTGATAGACACAGCAGTCATAAGAATTATAGCTCCTCCCTTTTTGAAAAAGAGATATTTTCAACCCTAAACTGCAAAATTTCTATTTTATAGTCAGACATTTCTATACCAAGGTAAGCATACCTTCACTAAAAGCCCTTAATAAATCCCAGCAGGATATGAAAGGGCAGAGCATGGGTCTCACAGTATGTGTAAGCATGACAAACAAGTGCTAAATGGAGATGCTCGAAGAGAACTGAACTGATTTGTTCAATCTAAAAACATAATGAAGCTGTATATTCCTTGATGCACCTCAGCAGTATGCACTGATAAATAATACTGTAAAGTGTTTCTGAATGCCCAGTCAATCAGGGCAGCCTGTTAGGAAGGACCAAGCTGAAGGATGCCTCTAGGACTTGCCTGACATGTTACCGGCATACTGATCGGAAGCAAGTTCAGAGCAAGGCAATGGCACCTGACCTTCAGGGAGCTGCTCTAAAATCTCCTTAAGTGCACCACCTGCAGCATTGCAGGGGGAAGAGAGCCAGCAATGTGGACTTGAGATCTGGGTACATACTGTACTCTACTGAAAATTGTAATTATAAAAGGCAATGGAATTTTTTTATAGGATGGAAGTGCTGCTCACACAGACTACAGAGACTGACACTCCGGATTTTTATTCCCTTGGCAAATCATGACTATGAAGAAGGTACTTCGTCTTTGACAGTACTGGGGAATAGAAAGGCAGAGTGAGAGAGGAAACCATTGATACCATGAATGAAACAAACAAACAAACAAATGAAACACAGCAAGCAAGTCTTACACATGGTGCTCACTAGAAATTGGGATTCAGAGTTGTATGAACTCCGAAATGCTATCATCCTCTTTTCTAGGATCACCAAATATATTCACTAAAGGAGCAAGTTTGTGAGGCACTGTATCTTTTCTACCTGCCTGGTAGTGGACAGGAAAGATAAAAGAGTTCCAGATAACACTTAAAGGGAACTCCCTCTAAATAAGCTATCAGGCTGTGCTTGTGGCAAACATAGGGTTAAATATCATTTTTATTCAGCTGAACCCCATGGGAAATATCCACTATTCAGTTTCCCTTGGTACTATGTTCATGGGTCAGAACAGCTGAAGGCAAGCAGGAATGAACCAAGCCCACTCTCCAAGGGTAGGCAAGAGGACCAAACAAAAGCATTCCCTTTCTTCTCCCATCTAAATTGGATGCTAAAAGCTTTAACGAGTTTTGATTGCTTAATATTTAAAGGGAGAGGGACAAAATAAACATAAGCCTATAAATATTTCAATGTATAAGTGATCATGTACAAAGAGCTTGCCACCAACCTATTATTGCTTTAGCATTTTGTGGATTAAATTCCAATCAGAATTGCTTTCCTCTCAAACTTGCATTGTGTTGCCTTGCTTGGCTCAGAAGCAGGAGGAACTCAAAAGTACTAAAATATCACTGTGTTATATTGGCCTAGAAACCTCTTCCCAGGGCTATACACATCAAAACTTAAATATACTTTTCCAATGTGACTCTTATTATAGGTCTGAAATAAAACTTGACTTTCACATCATTATTATCATTTTAGAAAAAAAAAGCAAACAAATTTATAAAACATGAGATCAGCTATTTTTGAATTTGCATTCCTCTAAAACGAGAAGCAAATAAGAGAAACTCAAAATTGAAAAAATTAGGATAGTGGTAACCTTAAGGGGTTCTCCTATGAAAGCCCCAACTAGACATATAACTTAGAAAAAGAAAAAAAAGATGTTTATAGCAAAGATGAACATTGAGGAGACAACTCCCCTCTCATACAGTTGACAAGAGCTTTTCTATACTGAGGCTTTTCAAGTATTGCCTTTTGAATAGCTGAAGAAAAGCTGAAGACATGTTTTCCAAATAGAAAGAATAACTTAGCACATCTAAAGGGGAGCTCAGGATGGACTCCCCAGCAGAAGATAACATATTAGCTTGTCCAGTATAGGGCTATTTTTTCCCCTGATTTCACTATTCTAAGTTTACAGAAAGGGTGTTTTTAATTGTAAATGAAAAAAACTAAACATACGGTACCTGTTTAGCGTGGGGATGTTCCCTCTGTAATTAAACAACCACAGTTAGTTACTTATAGGTTAGTAAAAGCCATAATAAAAGAATTGTCAGAGCATATACACACCAGTCGTGAGGAGCTCCAATTTGGCAGCTCTGGCATTCAGCAGACATAAGTGCTCATTACCCTTCCACCTCCAGGGTGCCTCCAAAGAGGCATGCCTCCTGACCTACCTCACCAAGCAGCCGTTGATGGAAACGGTCGAATATATTTACCATGGTTTTTTTTTATAGCTCTATTACAAAAAAAAAATAATGCAGAGTAGTGATAAAACACGGGCTCATGAAAATTAATTTAAGTTATATGATATGGTATATTAAGCTTCAATATGAAATAGAATTCTTGACAAGATTCTTAGAGAATCTTCTTTCTTGTTCCTACTTTACTAAAAATGTAATAAGGAGGTCCAGAGAAGTTGATTCTATAGCCCCTCCTACATTAATTGCTTTTGAAGAATATGTTATGAACCTACAAACTCTCCTCCAAAGAAAAGGAGCCAATGAGTTACCAAGCTGCCTTTCAAGTCTCTTCCACCATCATCTTCCTCCCATAGATCTGGGTGGGACAGTGGTGGTAGGTGGTGGGTGGTGTTAGGTGCTGGGTGTTGGTGATGGATGGTGGTGGTGGATAGTGGTGGGTGGTGGTGACAGAGGTTGGAAAGGAGGGTACTTTGTAGTTCAGGGGCTTTAAGGAAGTAAAAATCAAGTAGGATTATAATGATAAATAATTCTATGGCTGGCCCTGGCCAGCTTGGCTCAGTGGATAGAGCGTCAGCCTGCGGACTGAAGGGTCCTGGGTTCGATTCCGGCCGAGGGCACATGCCTGGGTTGTGGGCTCGGTCCCCAGTGGGGGGCATGCAGGAGGCAGCCGATTGGTGATTCTCTCTCACCATTGATATTTCTATCCCTCTCTCCTTCTCCCTTCCTCTCTGAAATCAATAAAGAAATATATTTTTAAAAAAAATAATAATAATTCTATGGCTAGCGGGATATAATATGTAAAAATTAACACTTTTTAAATTATCATTTATATATTTTGTTTAGAGTAATAATGACTTTTTAAAATTGCTGTAAGCTTAAAAACTCTAGGCCTCTCATAAATAAAACCTTACCTAAATTTGGCTAACCTTAATTTTTCCCAATAAAGAATGTGCCAAAATCATGAAAGAAAGACTAGGGTAATTATGGAAACTGCAAAGCAAGTCTCTTATTTTCTCTTTGGTCTTTGCTACCAAATCTTTTTGTTTCTTAAAATGATGTCAGGCATTTCCTCAACATAAAGAGAAAAACCCCCACACCAACTAAAACCTCTTATTTCCAATGTTAAAAGGGCAAAGTTATACTTACCACCCACAATTTAGGAGGACTGTAAGGGGGTTGATTGGTTGATATCTTAACCTTCTAACATTCTTTTATCAGCATTTAATCATTTTTGGGGTTTTCTGGCACACAGAGGACTTAATGGACAGAACGTAGTGGGTGGTGCTGATGATATGTGGGAAGGAGGAGAGAGGGAGGAAAATGATGCACTTTCCATGGCATTGAAAGGAGCAGAACAGACTGAGCTGGCCACATAAATAAAAAGCTGTGACATATCACTGCACACAAACTGTATACCTCATGTGATTTGTGAGTAGCAATGCTCTCTGCATCAAACCTGTATCACAGAGTGAATTCCTACGATAGCAAGAGCAACCTCTGAGTGCAAAAACCTGCACCTTTGCTGTGTGGATTCTTTGAGCCTCTCACTCAGGGGAATGGGTTTCATTTTACAAGACACCCTTAGTTATAATGCACTGGGCCCTCAACAACAAACATGAAGTATGCATAGGTTCTAGAGCAGAGGGAGGTAAAACTAAGAAAACTAAATGTAGACACTAATGAGAACATAGAAAAGTCTCCCTTTTAAGATATAAAGGATTCTAAAGAAAGGAGTCACCTGTACAGTCCCTTCCCATGAACCTCACTCAGGTCAGAGAGAAGGGCCCTACAACCAAAGCAATCTCAGGCTCCATCTATCCAGGTTTCTGGAATTTAGAAACCAGTATAATCTCTCTCAACTGTTAACCAGTTTCTTAAACCAATAAAATGGTCTCACTGCTTCTGTAGCTGCACTTTAATCCCTAAGGGAATTTTCACAGGACAACGGCCAAGTTTTCAGCAGAAAAGGGCCTGAATTGAAAACACCACCACCAACAAAAAGCCAGTCCTTCTCCATAGCAATTCTCACGCTCTCATAGGGAGCCCCCTGCTGCTTTGTTATATAAATTGTGTACCATCTACACAGTATGGGGTATGAACAAAACTCCCAACATCTCCAGTTTTTAAAGGAATGGCATCAGATCAATCATGTAAGAGGTAAGTTTAGAGGCAGCTTTTCCTTTTTGGTACAATAAGAATCTGTGCAGCTGGAGAGAAGGAAGGATAAATTCTCTATTACAAGGTAAATACTTAGCCATATCCATATGATCATTTACGTATTTTGTTACCCTATCAGGGGCTATTTGATCAATTTAAGAATATGACCAATGTGGCATACTGTACAGTACTGTGATACACTAGGAAGCTAGATGCATCGTCTGCACAAAAACAATCAAGGAAGAGAGTGTATGAGTCAACTCTTCCACTTATGTAGCTAAAAATATAAAATAAAATCTACCACATTCACTGCATACCCATGATGCAAAAATAATCTAATTGCTCAATCTCTGATAGGCAATCAACTGCATTTTCAAATACATGGGATATAAATTCACCTCTCATAAGACATTTGCTGTTTAGGCTATTCACTTATGATGAATCTTCATTCACAATGTTTTGATAACTATTAGAATCATTTTCCTTCCAGTAGAACAGCTCCATTTTATAGATGTGATAACTGAGAAACCAAAGGGGATGCATTCTAAGGACACTGTTCAGTAGGCTTGTCATAAACCAGAATCTAAACCGGGCAATTTCTCATCTCAGTTTCCGAGGCTAGCATTCCACATCAATATAGAATAAATTTAAAGAAGGACAAGAGAAATCCGTTGAATTCTGAGGTTCTTGGCATTAAGTCACCTCTGATTTTATTGATCTGTCTGCCTAGAATGGCTGGAGAGCCTGCTTCAATATGAATGCAAAGTCAGAGTTGCTGCCTGCTAGCTGAACCCTCTTTATTTAAGGAACACTGACTTCTCTGGCAGTCACAAGTTCTCTGAGCCTTTTGCCATCCCTTCCAGCTGAATTTCATTTTGCTTGATTCTAGCTGGCCCTGCATAAATTTCTTATCATATAAAAATGCTCCTGATTCTTCTGCCTTCTAACATGAAGGTGGGGAGGAAGACCCTATATGAAAATGATGGGGATGCATGCAAACAAGCAGTGGTTACATCAAGCTGTGACTGAGAGCCATATAGGGCAAATCTTTTGAAATCAGGCAGCAAAGCAGAATCAGAAGAGGTCGGCTGAATAACCTACTAGCAGTTGCTAACAGCAGTGCCATAGGAGAAAGAGCAATTTGACTGGCTGTGACCAGTGGTGGTCTCCTTGCGTGACTATATTTCTGCAGGAGAATCCAAATCAAGAGCTTTAAAACACATCTGAACCATGTATTTCAATTGGCATCTCCCCACCACCCCCTCGCAGTTCAGATGCCCTGATTCCAATGTAGAGCTTTAGTTTACAATAAAATGATCATTGATTCATTCATTTGCAGCCTCTTTAAAGCCCTTCTTTGCTCTGCTGGAAGATTTTGCTCTTTCTGAAACAAGTATGCCAACAGAGCTGCAGCGTATTACTGCTGCCTGCTGTATAATTAGCTACAAACCCACTGCACAAAACTATAGGGATTTACAGGTGCCCTGGATTCTGCTTTTCTTTCCCCCTGGAATCGGCTAGTCTTCCTTGACAAGAAGGGACCTTGGGCTACTCTAATGATATATTGAGAGTTTTAAACTCAACTCTCCAATCTTACAAGTCTAGAGTGCCAAAATAACACAGCAGAGACCAGCAGCTGAGCCATGGATACAGGAAAGCACTTTGGTAAGCACTTAAACCTGCTGAGCATCTTCTCTTCTCCCAGACGCTTGCATCTTATCAGCACACTACCCTGAATGAAGCAAGCACTGTAAGATTTTATTTATTTATAGCTCATTCTGTCCTGCTAACGACAACCCAGTGCTCATGCTGCTTTAAAAAAAATGCTACAAGTTGGGTGATTTTGGAGTGTCTCAATATGATCCAAAGAAGGACTTAATCTCTGGGTGTCAAGGATTATCAGAATTCTTGAAAATGGCAGCAGTCTCTGCAGATTAGTCACACGGAAGGCTTCTGATTCCTGAACTTCCTCACAACCGTCTTCATAAAAACAAGGTCCAGAGGCCACTCACTGACAGCTAAACATTGAAGGTGCCAAGCAGCCTACTAGTAAACTTAGTCATGACTAAAACATGTGCTCTCAGGTGAAAACACAGCCGAACTCTTCTGGATGTGAGACATGAAAAAAAGGAAAGTGCTTGAATTAAAACATTATAATAAAGAAGGCCAAATTCACAAGGAGCAAATAACAGAGAAGGTACAATACAACTTGACGTAACTAAAGCATGGATTTCCACCTAAGAAATAGGTGGAAATAAACACCAATAGGTCCTCCCCCATTACATATGTATAGAAACATATAAAATATACTTTTTTTTTGGTATAGCAAAGTTGGAAATTTATTAAAGAACAAATACAGACTCCCATGTAGGGAGGGGGAAGAGTCCCACAGAACGGACTCGCACATGGGAAGAGGGAAAGGGTCCCCATAAAATATACTTTCATCTCCTGCATCAATTTGATGATTATTTGAATTACAGATAAAGTTTTTAAAAAATGAACTATGTTTGTTAATGTGTATTATTCATGAAAATCATTTGGAGTTATAAATTCTAAACTCCCAGACTGTCATAATATGTACAGCCATATGCATAGCCACAGAGTTTATGGGATAATGTACTTTACATATG